TCCAGAACTTGTTCCTCCTGCTCCATCGTGGTCCCCCTCTCACAGGAGACAGTCCTCCACAAACTTTCTCCGACTTGAATTCCTCCCACGGGCCGCAGCGTTCCCCACACTGCTCCGTCATGGGTCACTAACTTCCTCCGACTGGATTCCCTCCCACGGCTGCAGCCCTTCCCGAGCTGCTCCGGCGTGGGACTCCCCCGCATGCTGCAATCCTCCCAGCACTGAATTACAGCAGCGGGGCTGCCTTTTCCCATGAGACCCCGGCCTTCTTCGGGCACAGCACCTTGATCATTCAGGCCGAGCAGGAGCAACAGGCCATAAATCAATGTCTGCTCCACCGTAGATCTCCATGGGTGGCAGGGGGGGGCCGCCCTGCCGTCTCCCCACAGGATACAGGGGGGTCTCTGCTCCGGCACACCTCCCCCCTCCTTTCTTCCTCCGTTCCTCCACTGACCTTGGTGTTCAGGCAGCTGCAGCAACTCCTCCTCACCAGTCCCACTGCCCGTCACCACGTCCCTTCTTAAATACGTTCTGGCAGAGGCGCAGCTGATGGGCTCAGTTTTGGTGCAGAGGTGGAGCTGACGTGGAGCTGGGGGAGCTCCGAGAAGCTTCTCACAGGGGGCCGCCCCGATAGCCCCCTCCCCTGCCACCAAAAAACTCCACCACTCACTCAACCCAGGACATCGATAGAGCCGCTTGCTGCAGTTGCTGCCTGTCACTGCCACACTGCAGAGGTGGCAGTGCCTCCTGCCCCGCCGGGAACAGCAGCTTCAGAAACGGGGTTTGCATCGTGCTCTTTAGGTTGAAAGACTCGGACCGTGTCCGATCGCCGGGCGGCCCAGGGCTCTCGCTTGGCGTGTCCCTTGTTTCTTGCCCTTTTCCAGTCAGGGCTGTTGGGGAGATGAAACCGTCCCCTGGCCCAGCTGGGGATGGGAAGGGGAAGCACGAGAACCTCGTGGGCTTGGGAGTGGGAGCCGGCGTGGCCCCGGGGGGGGTGTGGGGTTGTCCTGGGGGGGGCCTTTGGGATGGGATGGAAGTTGGGCAGAACTGCAGGTGTCTGCCTGGGTCGCAGCGCAGCCCTGGCGTCGATACTCGCAGCAGGGAAGGACTTGGAGCCCCTTTGGGGCGCGAGGACTCGGAGAGGGCGTCGTACACCGGGGCTCTGGCAGCAGCGACTGTACAGAAAAGGGGGGAAACCCCCCAAAACGTGAGGTTTTCTGTGTTAATCACAACCCTCCCGTCCTCTAAGGGTTTGCTGTGTCAGGTGTTGCCAGGGGCTGAGCGGTTCCTTCAGGTTCTTCTCAAGGATTTCCTGCTGCTCTTTGAACTTCTGATAGAATGTAAACCCAGCGTTTGGCAGGCATTTTTTTTGCAGTTATTCAGGCAACGCCACGATTTCCAGTGACTCTGGTTATCAGGGACCCAATGGCCACATTCAGAGACCTTGCATGAGATTTTTTTTTTTTTTAATTCTTAAATGAGTTTTTCCTGAGCAAATGGTTTCTTTTCATACTTAAATGGTGAGGGTGGTTTTGGCTTTTTAAAGAGGACTAGAAGGAAAAAGGGACTTCTACCTTTTCTTCCAGTCATACGTGTGTTGAAGTGCAGACTGCTTGTTTGGACCACGTGCCTGGAGCAGCTCCCGTTGGAGGCAGATAATAAAAGAATTCAAATCCGTGGACCAAGGTGGAAGCCATACAGAAAATGCACTACTTGCCACGTACGTGGCCTTTCCCGGTAGTGCTGCTTCTGGGCTCCTCGTGGCACAGAAATGCCTCTTTCTTTCTGTGGAAGCTAAATACAGTGCTTTCCAAGAGCCAGCTGTGCCCGAGCTGCTAGCTGGTTAGATGCTACACTCTTATTCCTTACGTGCTCTGCCATGATGGTTTCTTCATAGTATGAGACTGACTTAATAATATTTTTTTTTTTTTTTTTTTTTTTTTCCTCCTGGTATAGGACAGTTAAGATGCTGAGGGGATAAATGGAAGCGAAGACCACGCTACCGTCTTTCCCTGCAAATTATTTAACCGAAAATGAGGTTGTGGTGGCGTCGACTAAGGCAGCAGGAGCTATGTATGGAGTCAAATCCCTGCCTGCAGGCACCCACCCCGGGAGCAGCTCTTAGCACCCGTGGGTGATTTCGCCGCTCGTGGGCGTCGCTGCTTTGGGCGTTGCGCTCCCTCGGGTGGGGAGGGGGCCTTAGGAACATCGTTACTCAGCTGCATCCCGGTGCTTGATGCTGTCTTGGAAGAGTTCCCGAGCCAAGGATTGGAATCAGGGTATTGAGAAATACCAAGCTGAAGACTCTGGAAACGAGAGGGGACGAGTTTGCTCCGATGGGCGCGGGGGCAGCGCCCCGCTGGATGTATTCTTCACCCTTTGAGACAAAGGAGATGGGTTTCTACTTGTTTCCTCGTGCCTGACCCAGCTGGGAACGCTGTGACCTGCAGGGTGATGGCAAGGGACTCAGCGGGGACGTTTCCTGCCTGTAAAATGGAAACCCTGGATCAAATTGTGTGAAAGTATTCCTAAATTCCAGCGCTCGCAGAGGTGTGGTCGGGGGGGGGGGGGGCTCGGGCCGTGTTCTCGGGAGGCTTGCATCAAGGCTTCTCCAGAACAAAGAAAGAAACAGCAGAGCAGTTTGTTTTCCTCTGGAAGAAACCCTTGGCACACAGCGATCGTGTGGTATTTACTTGGAAAACACAAAGCCTGAAAAGGCAATGGCAATAGACCCTGAATACGGCCCTTCAAAAGTAGTTTTTCCATTAAGAATTTGCTCTTCACTCAAGTGTTTCAGAGGCAGTTGTCTGGGGAGCGCCGGCTGCTTTCACCGACCCTTTGCCACTGCTCCGTGGAATTGTACGTCGCGTTAATCCTGTCAATCAATCAGCTTTTTTTTTTTTTTTTTTTTATATATATATATATATATATTTTGGATTGTAACTGTGTAAAAATAAACCACCAGAGCTATTGCTATCCGTTCGTACTGAGAGGGCGAGTGCTGGTCCCACACTAAAGCAGGAGAAAGAACAGCACCCGTGCTGTTAGTTTGCTGAGATTAAACGGACGGAGACGTGAACCCCCCGCGCCCGTGGAGGTGACCCCCGTGTCCGGCCCGCAGGGACCGGCTTTCCCTCCTGTTGGGTGCTTGCAGCAGGCGCCTGGGAGGGGAGAAAGAGCGCTGCCCCCCCCCCCCCCCTGTGATTAGGGGCCTTTTCCCCCCTCCGTTGGGATTTGTGAATTGAGGCCTGGATGTTTACCAGGTAGGCAGAATAGAGCTGGACAAAACCCACCTTGGACCACATCAAACATGCAGATGCTCTAGTTCTAACAAGGACTAAGGATGGGGATGATCCGGGGCGGGGGGGGAAGATACAATCCTCTTCAGAGGTGGTGCAGCGCAAGGAAAGGCACTTCCACACCACCACCCCCCCCACCCCCCTATTTTGTTTTACCAGATCTGTGCAAACGCTTTAGGAAAAGAAGGGGACCTGGTTATCGACGGGAGGGGTCGTGGGATTTAACAAGCACTTTGTTGAGCTCTGCAGGGGAAGCTCTACCCCCCTCCACAGCGCTGGTTAACGGGGAAACGGCACCCCCGGGGGTGACAAAGCCCTTGGCTGCACCGCGCCCCTTTTACCAGCCCCGGCCTGAAGAAGGGGGGGGGGGGGGAAGGTTCTAACCTGAGGGGTTCCAGGCAGGGCAGGTCCCTGCCCTCTTGAACCAGCGGGAGAAGTTCAGGGATCATCTTCCCGGAAAAACCAGCTGGTCCCTCCCTCTCCCCCAGGGAACAGCTGAACGTAAGTGTTCTTGGGTCTCTTAACTATTTAAAAACCCCAAACTCCGGGCAAGTAGGAAAAAGTAGCATCTGACCCCCACTGGAGAAACCCAACAGCGCTTCGCTCCCACTGAAACTGGAATAATGAACCCGGATTTCATTTTTCAGAACTTGTTGAATGGTATTAAAAGGATGGAGTTTTCCTTGGTAGGGTTCCCTAACAAACCAGCAGCAACAGAACCTGCTACAGCTGGTGCAGCTTGGTGTAATTTATCCACCCAGACCACAGCCCCCCTGTAACCCATCTCTCAAATCATTCTTTAATTAAAGTTCATTACATGCAGTAATTAGAACTGTTAAATTACATGTATGAAAAAAAAAATCTTTATTTGAAAATACAAACATGATTTTTAAACGGATCTACACTGCAACCAAAAAATAACTTACATCTTTTTGTACATTTTTTTTTTTTTTTCTCCAAACAAAATCTGTTTAACAGCAAGAGTGAGGCAACAGTTTCAAGCTGCTGTGACACTGATGAATATCCATGGAATGTGTCAATAGCAAACAACTGCAGAAGGATGGGGGGGGGGAACAGACAAAAGCACTGAATGCCCACGACAAATTAGTGCAGGTCACTGATCAAATAACATTTATACAAAGGATTTTAAAAAATTGGTTCCTTCTACACGAACGAACGCGCTCAGTTTGAAGCGAGCGTGAACACCAAACCAGACCTCGTCGTTAAATAACCGCTTTGTAAGGGCACACCCATAAAAAGGCTGAAGGTTAAAAGAGCAAACGAAATTCAAGTCGGGGCAAAGAAGGACCGGACGGAGAAGAGAAGCGACTCATCCGGGGCGCGTCCCTTCCCCCGTGCACTAAACCTTGGCCCACAGAACTCCGCTCCTAAGGGAGAGCTGGCTGCTGCGCTCAGCCCGGGCTCTGCCTTGCCGGGGTGCAAAGCCCCAGCCCGGCACCCCCCTTCCCTCCCACGGCCCCGGGGGCAGGAGGCCTCTCATCGCCCACGGGCTGGAGACGCTCGGCGCCCCATCAACCTCCAGAGTTAGGCCGTTCTCTTTAAAAACCCAGTAGGTTGCTTTTCTCTCAAGTCGAATATCCTTCTTCTTCCCCCAAAGGACTTCTGCCACATCCGTAAATAAATACTTCGATCTGTTTTTACAAACTATAGGCTATGGAATAAATACAAAAAGTTTCATCGTTCCATACAAATGCGCGTCTTTTATTGGGAAGGTGGTGTAGGGAGTAAATACGCTGAGCGCAAAACTAAGCCGGCTTCCTGGAAACAAAACCTACGGGAAAACGAGGGGGTGGAGCAGACCTGCTGCAGAGTGTCCCTTCTCTTCTGCACGCGTTGACCCTAAGTAACCGCTACTCGAAGTCCTCTTCGTAGTCGTAGTCATCCAAGTCTACGTCGGCCAGATGGGAAGGCAGTTCAAAAAACGGCCTTTTTTCCATTTGGTACTTCAGGGCGTTGGCCTTCTGATGGTCTGCAGGGTTGAGCTCTGCTTCGTACCTGGGAGTGGGCAAAAAACAAAAAAAAAAAAAAAAGGAGAAAATGAAAGAATCTAGCTACGTCAGGGAGTGCCTAAAAGTCAGAACCCTAACAAGGCACCTGCAGGAAGAACGTAATTTTCAATATTTTACATTTCCAGCGAAGAAACGTGTAAGCAGAAGCAGGAGCAGGTTTCTGTAAGGCTTCAGCTTGCCTCAAAGAGTTCAAAGCACGCAGCGCTCTAGAGGACTGCTCCTGGGTCCGAAATGGTCAAATACAAGACTTTAGCACTTGACAGAAACCCCTCCAGTTCTGCTCCAGCAAGCTGAAAAGAGGCTGAAAAGTCAGGAAGAACAAACTACACCTGCAGTCGGTACAGCGAACGAGCAGTAATACCGAATTGCAGGTCTTACTCAAATGTGCATGAGCACGAGGAAGCGACAGCACCGAGGTATTTAAAAGCAGATGCTGGCAAGCAAAAGCCAATGGTTTAACCAGAAATTACTGATAAGCACCTGCTGCTGCTGCAAATGCACGGAGGGGGTTGTGAAATGAAACGCTGAACTCGCTCAAGTCAGCGAAGGCTGGTATTTAAAAAAAAAAAAGACCAGCTTCGGCACTGTTCAGGTGAGATCCTTCTATAATGGAAAGCTGTTTAAAAAAAAAAAAAAATAATTAAATGTAAAGCTCTGTGGAGATTTAGGATGTCAGATTAAAGAACTGACCCTTTGCTGGGCTAGGCTGGCTCAGGCTCCTGCACATCTTCCCACCTACTACCGAGTCTCCCCCCAGCACCTGATTATTTCCATCCCCTTAACAAGGCGAGGCAAAGAACGAGCTTTAGAAATATCTGTTCTTCAAATGTGGCTTTACAACGGCGTTCAGTGGTGATTGCAAGTATTCTTTCGGAGAGAGACACAGGGCAAAGAAGAGTTAAATACTAAGAATCCACTAGGGACATTAAAAGAGAGAAACAGCAGGAGCAGAGGCGGGAGGAAGAACATTTTCAATTGTGAATACAATTCTGTTCAAACAGTTCGTAAATAAACTATTCGACACACTAAGCCAGCTTCACCACCATTTGCAGTAAAAGAAATCTAATAAAGATACTTTGATAACACCAGGTAAAGATTAAGTAAAAACCAGTTCCTACTTTTCTTTTTTTTTTTTTCTTTTTTTTTTTTTTTTGTGTGTGTGGTTTTTTTTTTTTTGGTGTGTGTGTGTGGTTTGTTTTTTTTTTTTTTGTTTGTCTGTTTTGGTTTGTTATTTTTTTTTTTTTTTTTTTTGTTACTTCACCCTTCCCACGGCTATTTAATCCTCGATTACGTGAGCGCCGATCAGTGCTCAGGCAGTGAACACAATACCCTGGGTTTCTCCCACAAGTTCACCCCCGATTCGAACAGGAAGCAAAAGTCACCCGAAGAGTCACTCGACCGAGTTACACAGTTGAGAACAAGGATTTGGAAGAAAGATGCATATTCTACCATAACTAACAGTTTTGGCTCACACACCTGTGATTTATAGCCTTCTACACCACTAATTGCATCTTTTCGAGTAGGATCTATTTTTTTTTTTTTGTCCCTCCTTTCTTAAACTGAAGCATCTTGACTGCATCTTTTGGGTTTCTTTGTTGCATAGTGACACAGTGAGGTGACAACAGCTTTTCTGGTCATTAAAAATGGCAGCACGAGCAGGGCTCAGATACTATTGGTAGCTTCCATCCATCCTATACTCACAAGCTTGTTATTCAAACATTATTGGCCCAAATGAGAATACCACTCTCTTCCAAAGCTTCGCTGGCCTCGTGGAATATCACTTTTACTCCTTTCCAAGATATTTAAGTTAGGGAAATTTAGAAATGCTGTCCCAGTTTTACACGTCTGAGCACTGGAGTTACTTAAGTTACTCCTCACAGTAGTAGAGAGGCGACTGCTCCTTCCCAGCACACGGGTTTTTATTCAAAATGCAACACCGTCCAGCTACACCGCCCCTAGAAAGGCCTTGTTAAACTTCCTCACATTTCTAAAGCTCGCGCAGATGTAAAGCAAACAGCCTGTTTCTAGATCCCTGTACACCACTCCCAAGCTTCAGACCAAACGTTGTAATAGGAATGTCAGGAAAATATTCACCACAGAGGTAATCAAATAAAAAAAAAAAAAAAAATTCATGCCGGATTGTCAAACAGTCACTTCAGGCAGGCATCACAACCCTTTAAGTACAGCAAGGGATTTTAAGGAAGTTTTTATACACCACAGTGACTTAAAATGCTCCTAATTAATGTTTTTGCTTACGTTTTTGTTCATTAAACTTTCCTAAAGGCAGTGAGGAAACTTTTAGTAGTCTTGCGTTTCTCTCCGCTTCAGCAAGAGAAAATAAGCTCCATTTTACAGAACAATTGTAGGAAGAAAATAAAAAGATTCGGACAGTCCTACTTTGGTATTAAGTTTTAAAGAAAGCGTTCAAACTTTAAGTTGGATTGGACAAAGCCTCCCCGAGCCAGATCAAACTAATTTTCTTCTGTTTGCTCACAACTTAGAAGCTGTTGCTTCTTTGAGATACAATTTAGAGGGTGTCTTAACTTTGCTCTCTATTAAAAATAAAAATACCATTTAAATGCAACAGTCTTCACTAGCTTCTGATAGAAGGGTAGGCAGAAATCAGTAAGATGAAGCATCATACTTGTTTCTACATAGTGAGGCCAAATACATCTTACAGATGCTTGGATGTAAGCTACCTGAAACACTCTGACACCTTACAGAGCGGTAGGTAAGGGACCCAAGGAGCCTTACAATCTGTCCTCCAAGGAAACCAAGCAGCAAAACTTCAGGGAACACTTGGATAAAAGCTGTTACCACCTGTGCCAAGCATCAAGCTACGGCCTATGCAAACCCAACCAGGGACACACAAAGTAACTGAACCGCAGGATTTTTTGGGCTGTGCTTCCACAGAACACGGTATTTTTCTTTAATTGTCAGGGTTTTTTCCTACGAGGTCTGTGACAATTTGCTAATGCCAGAAGCAGAGGCAACCTACAACCGAAGAGTCACTTGAGTTTACAAACACCAGGCTCAAAAGAAATGAGAAACTGAATGGTTTAGCACCCATACATCATCTCGCCTTCACGTCCCAGCACACTCCACTACCTCATTTTTACAACACCACACCGGTTTTCCTTAAGGAGTGTATTTGCACAGTGAAGGTGCATTTTTTTCAGGTTTTGGGGTTATTAGGATTCGGCTCTACATACTGTAAATTCTGCAATATTCTCTGTATTATTTAAACTGTAATTGCATGGACATATAAAGAAGACTGTGCCCACACCAGAGACAGAACAAGCCTCAGGGAGGTACCCGAAACACCCAAAAGTGTCCAAGACGTATTAGAAGTTTACTGAAGAGTGAAAATTTAAGGTAAATTTTTAAGTAGAATACGAAAGTTTACCTCGAGAAACATTTTGTATTTTAGTTTCTATTTTGTCCACTTTCTGTGTAAAGCCATAGAATGATGGTTTTAGGTACACCTTGAATACATTTTTTGTGGAAAAGAACTGATCTGACCCCAAGAATACTGGCTGTGAATATTGCAGCTTTGATCCTCACCAAGAGCAGACATCTTGGGGGTGGTGGTATGGGAGTGGGAAACCCATAAAATTAAAATAATTTAGATTAAACAGTCACAGTACAGCACGGAACTCAGAAACAGCCGCAGTCAACAAACTCGTAACTGAATCAGAACAAAAGCACCTCGAGGCTCTTTCTACCCCAACTGCACTTCTGAGTGAAACTGTGCCCAAACGTTATCTTAGAACTTGATAAAATTACACTTGCCTACAACAGCCCGGCAATTTCAAACCCGTAATCAGAGGTGCAGAGTAACCTGAATTCCTGACATGCAGGTCCCTTACTGCTCATGTGAAAAGGATATTTTGCCTCCAGTGAGTTTCAGTTGCCCGTGATACCGCACACAGTCTCAGGACAGAATGCTAGACAAACAGTTGAAATCCTTCCTTGGCAATCTAGCTCAGGATTAGCTTTTACAGACCTGAGCGTATTTTAGCTGACAAGGTATCTGGTTTCTCAGGGTATTCCACAGCAAAGCTGTACGAGGCTTTAAGGGCTGTAAGACAGAATAATAGGATCTTCATGGAATCCAAGAAATCTTCATTTAACTATCGACTCTCAAGTGAGCTTGAGACAAATTAAGTCAAAAACCATCTGAATTTTGCAACTCTGTACACCTGAAAATAGGCAAAATGGGCTCACCACTCAGATTCTAGAAAGTCACAGCAGCAGCAGAATTTTAAAACGGGAAGGTGGAGACACACAACTGCTGTAATAGAAGTAAACAAAGAGAGCAGCAGAAGAGAGAGAAAACAAGGATGTAAAACTTTTGGGAAAGCGGTTCTAGTTCAGATTTAAGACGTTCAGCTTTGACGGTACCTCAGGGCTCCTGAATTCTCTTCATTTCTCTCTCAAGCCTGGGCTCTCGGGTTGACCTGCTGATGCACTGATTTACTCTGTTCCATTAAGGGGGCACCTCTGACAGATACTGAGATGATGGCAGACACCGCAGGGGCTAGGCTGCTCCTGACGGGGTCGGATTAAGTCCACCAGTAACTTAAAAATTCAGATTCCTGATGGTTTAAACATGTTCATTTCAGAAAGGCATTGTAAAACAGAAGGTCAAAAATCTGAATCCTTCACCAGTTTAGGAGAATCCCACTAGTTTTGTCAGCAGAGTTATAAATAAGTAACATGCCACAGCCAGCAAGACTGTAGAAGCTGTTCATTCTTCCAATTCATCAAATTTAAGCCATTCTACTCGCCATTACGGTCTCGAGCGAGTGTCAAACGTACATACCTATTCTATTCCTTCCCCAAACTTAGTCTATAACCTTAAGAGATTAAACAAGCTATAAACACTGAAAGTTTAATACTGCCTAACTCACAGTAACAAAACTTCTGTATTTTGTTTAGAGTTGAAGCTTTTTTTCAAATCTTGTTTCCTCCTAAAATGTGAAGCAGGACCTTTTCTTTGAGAAAACCAGTGGGATCACAAGCTGTCAAGGCATACTTAAGTCGAAGATACAAGCAAGGTTCTTCCTCCCTCACCGAGCACATAGCTAAACACAACAAACAAGCAGCCTTCCACAAAGAGAACTTCCAGGGTGACTGTGATGGTGAGGCTCTACGATAGCAGAGGATTCATACCAACACCCCTGCTACGCTCTTACCCGTCATTCCACTGGTCACTTGCTGCCTCTTCTGCTACCAAGATATCGTACTCTTCAGCAGCATACTTCTCCCAGTCAGAGACCTCTTGGCTTTCACCTTCACTATCCTAAACAATCACATTGCAAGTTATACAAAAACGTAGTAATCGTTAAGCACAGAGCTAAAAAGACTTTTAAAGCTTCATACTCACCCGCAACATGGAAAACTGATCCTTCTGTTCATGGTCAAGGTATTTTTCAATGTTGAAAAAAGTATCAAAAAACACATTTGTCAACTTACATCGCTTTAAATCGTGCAGAGTAATTTTTCCTGTAAAGAAGATTACGAGAAGGTATTTAGAGCTGAAATTATCCTTTCTCCAAAAAGGAGGAATGTTATTCAAAAGTTAAGTCCTCATTATGCTTAAGAACATTTGTCACTGATGCTCCACGCAATGGGAGAGAAGCAAACAGATGAGATATACACCTAGAGAAGTGTCCTTCAGAGTGGACAAAACCCTTAAACGTTTCAGATTTGTTCCTTGCTTTAGCTGTCATCCTGCCGCCCTTTAATAAGTTGGAAGGAGACGCAGTCTCTGCTTCAGTTATTAAAAAAAAAAAAAAAATCATTTAAGCTAATTGTCTAAACGGCCTCCAAAGACAGAAGTCTCCAGTGAGCTAGCCATTCCTGCCCAAGAAGTGCTTGGGTAGCAGGTAGGAATCTCCTCTGGCTGGGGCCCTTGCTCTTCCTTCACTTGAAGAGACAAACGTATGACTGATGACAACGTGTGACTGTGCTTCATACAAATGAATTTTTCATAGCGACTAGTTTGTCACACTTGTCCAGGCTGATCAATATTTACTGCTTTGAGAGGAAAGCTAAATGCTCAGAGGTGTTTTGTTTGGTTTTTATGAAGCGATACTTTGAAGACTCAAATCAAAGGATCCATTAAGCATCAGAAGTATTTGTCAGGTTGCTCAGAAATGTTACCCGGTTTCAAAGTTGAATATCAAGCTTCTGCAGAAAGACTAAAAAACACCACACGTACAAGGGAAGACAAATGTCTATCCTTAAAACTGCTTTACTGCTTCACCACCTTAAGTATGGCTGGTCTTCTGTTGTCAAAGAGGGGCTAACTGCAGATGTTATGGAAGAGCTCAATAAAAGCCAGGCTTAGAACAGTATTTCCTCAGCATATCATCCCAGTCTCTAACAAAGTATAACTCAAGGACATCAGAAAGAAGCAAAAATAAGAATCCCATTTGGAAATGGTTACTGCACTTGTGTCTGTTGCCATCTGAAGTGCCTTTATGTATTCTGCCTGGCTTATAGCTGATGCTCCAGAAGGACACGAATCCTTCAGGGCACCTGTGTCCTATCTGTCAGACCCCCACAGATGGCTGATGTACCGGGCCATCTCAAGTGGCAGCAACTCCCCGCGACCAAGCAACTGATTTGAATCCTAGTTATATAAGCTCCCAATTTAAGTTACACACCTATATTTGGTTCGTTGACTCGCTCTCCAGTTTCCGTTTATTGCAATGGGAGCTCAGGCACCTAACACTCACGTAGGTGCCTACCCTTGTCTCTCCAAAACCAACAAAAGAATGAAATTGCGGTAATTCATTCAGGTCTCCACAAATTAAAGAATTCGCTTTTTGGTACACAGAGCATCCGGTAGCAACCTGCACCACCGTTTAGCCATGACTGTAAGTATCTTCTTTTGTTTCAGATCTATCAAGTGAAGTGTCATTTTATGCTGCTAGTTTTTGTACTAGGAAAACAACGGAAGAATTTTTTTCTTAATCCACCTTTTAAACGTCACTCAGTTTTTATAAAGAAAACATCAACCCTTCACAACTGGCTTTCATTTTTGTTGCCCCGAGTAACTCTCATCTTGGTTGTGTTTCGCAGCCTCCTTTTATCATCTTCATGATATAGAACAGATACATCAATCTTGTCTCATTTGAAATGCAGAACAGAAACATTATTGAAAATGTCTGCCTCTCAGAAAGCGTAACGTACCAAACTGGAAGGGAACCCCCAAGTTTGGGAGGTTATTGTAGGCAACCGTATAACAAAGGTGTCCCTCAGAGCTTGCTTCACTTCATTTTAAACGCTCGCCACCCCCTGTGTATTATACAGTGTTGGTCTAACACTTCATTCCACTGGTATCCAGGATTGAGCTTCCAGCCGAAACATACTTAATACTCCTTTTTCATTTCCACTTTTTATCTGCCTTTAGAAAAGTGTTTTCACCTAGCGAATCCATTTTAACTCAGTTTAAATAAGAATATGAAGCTTTAAGTTCTAGTTTTGAGCGATTTCAATTCCCTTGGCATACAAAAAATCGTATCTCAATAAAAGACAACTGCCTTTTCAAAATTCACTTTCTTTTAATTTAAATATTCTTAACATTAGAAAGAAGGTGAGCAATAAGCAAGACCCTTAACTGATTCTCTAACCATCATTGTACAGACAGTAAACAGAACCACCCTCTTACTCAACTAAAGTGTCACTGAAATTCAAGAATAAAAAACCTCAGTGCTTCATCCAGAAGTGTCCAAACGTGAAACACTAGCACAACATTACATTTGCTAAACAAAAGCATTAAATAAGATGGGTCAACAGTTTTCTTTTACCTTAAAAAATAGCAAGCATTAGCATATGTGATAGAGGTTGCTACTCCTATCAAAACACTTCAAGAGCAAATAGGCAAGTTCTAAATTTATTGCAATGCAGAACCTGTACAATAATAGCAACCAGATTGCATGCCAAGTCCCCTTTACACTCTGAAATTCACGTTAAGAATTAGTCATAATAAGGGTTATTAATGCTAACTGTGGTCAAGTGGTGAAACATCAAGTTTAGATACAGGCTGACCTCAGTTGTCTTGAGTTCAGCAAATCACTGGAGACTAATTCATCATGGCTGCAACAGTTTTATGAACTTGAGAGACAAATATCAAAACCAGCACAGAGGTAGAGGCCATGAACACGCAAGATACTGCTCTTCAGCACCACAGTAATATGTTTACCAAGGGATGCAAAAATATTTTCAGGATTGAGCAGCACAGAAGGGCAACTATTTTTTTCAGGTTTAAGATGTAAAGTGAAGTTTCATCAGCTAAAGGTCATATACATCAAATGCAGGAGGGTAGAATGCAGGTCTGTGAAGGTTCAAACGAATGTAGAAAATAGCCAACAACTAAGAACAGTTTAGTATTCAGTTATTTTTAAGCCCCTTGACATGAATTTCCTATGGGCAGCTTAGGCTTCTACGGGAAAAGAAGTCATTACTGATCTACAGAGACAAACACTGCTTAGAAACTGTTCCTTCTGAAGAAATCTCAATAAATGAGTACTGGAACAGGTAAGAGGCAAGTGAACAGAACGGTCAAGAGCTTTTCTCGAAAGCATCATCTCAGCCAGATAGTGACAAGATTTCATTTGAGACTAAATATGGCTACAAGCCCAAAATAAAAGCCTACAAGGACTTGGAAAGCAGCATATTAAATTTTAGTATGAAAGTGAATGCCTGCCTGCGGTTGGGAGACCATTCAATTAATAAGCTCTAACAGACTTTCGAGAAAAGACGGGCTACGAGCAAATTCTTTGTACGACCAACTGAGTGCTCTTAAAGGTGCACGAACTCCTAATCCAGAGAAACAGAAGTTAGAGATAGAAAAGGATGTTATTACCTTCATATTGTGGCTTCACAAGATCCAGCATCTGGCACAAACAGTCTTCAAATGGCAAAGGTTCTATGGCCATGTTATCTAATTTTTGGCACTGTTCTTCATAAAAATACTCCAGTTCATACATAGACAAAGCACCATCCCCATCAAGATCCATGCAGCGGAACCAGTATTCAATGCTGAAATTCAGTAATTAATAGCCAAGAACTTTTTACACAAATTTATTACAGAACTTTAAGAATTTACACTGCCTGTTTTAAAGGCTACGCTGCTTAGATGCAAAACTACGTTTAAGACTAGACTCCATAGTGCCATAGAAAGTCACAAACAACACCTACTGTGGTAAGAGTTTCTGGTATTTGTCATGCCAAGCATTACTGCATTTGAAAACACACTTGGTCATTGTGGGTGGGTGAGGGAGGAGATGACTAAAACATGTGGCTGTACATAAAAACTCAAGGGAGCCAATAAAAAACTGAATTGTGCATCAAAACCCAAGTTCTTTTTTTCTTCCTGAACCAGCCAGTGACACGGCACACAACAGGTTTCTTATTAGTATCCTATGGCTGATGCTAGATATATAGTTTCCCAAAGTCCCTGGCATCATGAAACTGCAATTTCCTTTATCTATGACCCTGTCTGTAAGCAGGCCACACACAGCACATGGAAGAATAACATTCAATAAGCCTCTTAAAAGTCATTAAAATAGGCTTTTACAGCAGCAACAACAGGAGACACTGGTAAATAAGAATGATGCAACAAACGGGCCAGTTTTCCACTCCTGGTTTTATCATTTAAGTTCTTCCATTACAGCTCCAGCTAAGCATCAGTAGTCCCTATTTAAAGACTGGAAAAATCAATAAAGTCAGTCTTTGAATTTATGTTTTAACAGAAATATTCTTACCTAGTCGGTGTCTTCTTGTCCTCTTCAGATATCAAAAACCAGACAAAATCAGCGTAGCTAATTTTTCCATCTTTTTGTGCTTTTCTACCTCTTGATGGCCAACGGGGGGGAAAAGATAGAAAATTTCTTTTAAAAACACTCAGCTCTTACTAACCAAAATTAAGGATTGTTTTCCTTAGTGATATTAACTGTTTATCTCCTGAAAGATACAGTGTTCCTAAGGTGACTCGTTGCAGACTACTTCGATCATTCAGGGTAAGGAGCTTGTGTGCTCTGTTCTGTTTCTACTACAACGGGTAGTTAAAGAGGAAGGTAGCAGCTGGAGGAGTGAAGTAGCACTCTGTCCAGAAGGACTTACAGCTTTCCTTCCTGGGCAGCAGTACCACTGCTTAATTGTTAACAGAAGAGATAGCTCAATTTAAAAAAAAAAAAAAAACAAAACCTGTATACAAGCACACATGCTTTTTAGAATTTCTATTCAGGTAAAACTGACAAGAACTTACAGCTGTACAGAACTCCAGTGGCTAGAAGTGTTGGAATGGAACTGTGAAGATGAAAACTAAAGAAAAACATTCACGTGGCAAGAACGTAGCTGTCTGTTTCTACTCTTACACCACCGAACACAGCATTCAAATACTTTCTGAAGACATATGGTCAACCTTTCTAGTAAAAAGTCAGGTAGGCAGTTCCTAAACATATTGCATTCCATTCCTAAAATCCCTTTTTAGCTCTTTTATCCTCGAGATGTCTAGAAAAATATGATGTATGCCTTGTTCTTCCCAAAACACTCGCATAAAGGAGTAACCGCTAGACGTATGCCTGCCAAGTGTCATTTCACTAATTTCAGCTTTTGTTATGTCATTTCTGTTTATTGGTTGCTTTCTAGCTGCAGAAACCGTGCTAGCAAAATGTTTCAAAAATTAGTTAAACGCCACAGCTACACGAGAGTAAGTCAATCCAAGTGGGAACAGTGAAGAATGACTGTCAAAAATGTGAACTCAACTGGAGGAATTTTTGTCAATCTGTCAATGCAATGAGCATTGATTTTACAAGTAGTACTGAAAAGCCCCATTCCCTTTGAAAATTTGACAGGTTTGAAGGATGGAAAAATAACAATGCCGAGATTTCTTCCCCTCCTCATTCCCATCCCTGCTAAACCATACAACATCCTATGGGGAGTGCTCATTTGGGTAAAGAAAGGAGAGTGAAGAACCTGGACGGAGCCAAAGGTTCCAAGAACAGAGCAGTACTACCAGAGTTTAAACTACAATACTAAATCTTGAAATTCGCTGTTTCATTTCAAGGGGAAGGCATTTTTCCTGGGAATGTCACGCTTAGTTTAACAAGCAAATATATAAATATTAAAGAAATACCTTGTTACTGCTCCTGAGAAGATCCTCTCTATCATCCTATTTGATATTGCTGTGAAAAAAAGGTTTAAAATAGTGTCAGGTAAGTACAAGTTATTTTTGCTTTGTACTGTCTGGTTGAAGAATTCATTGGAAACCTCTTATGTATACACATCTGTGAGAAAGATCGAGTGTAGTGCTCATTAATCCCTTTGAGTTCTCTTGGAGAAGATCACTTAACACAAAGTCTCCAAGGCAAAGCTAGGACCAACCAGCTTTGAATTTGGACTTGAAGCAGCAGAAGTAGCATAACAGAAGTAATGAAATTAAGCGATTAGTAAGATAGCATTTACCAGGTTCTTTGACAAGTAAATCATGTTTTCAAGTGCCATTACAGTTTATATGACCTTGGTTTTGGCAAAGAGCCAAAACAGAATTGGTACAGTAATACATAATGAGCATACCTATCTGATTCTGACACGAGTCTTTTTCTGACATGGTTCTGATCCATGTTTCTAATTTTAAAACCGTTTCAGGGACTTTAGAGACATGTCTTAACTGAGCACCACCTCTGTAAAGGATATTCAATTTATCCTGAAGAATTTGTGGATGGTACTCAAAGCAGCACATGATACTATTCTCACAGAAGAATTTCTTCTCATTCTTCTAGCTCAGAGATATTTTTTCAGCATTGTAAAAACACTGATAATTAAAGCAGGTGGTTAACCATTCAAACAATCTGGTTTACATACTTACGGCAACGCTACCGCCGTATTATTCTAGTAAGGACACTAGTCTCTGCTTAATATTTATCCCCAGAACTGCAGGATAGTCAATTTGTTTCAGACATATGTGCTGCTGCTTCTTATCTACTTTTGAAACATTGGAGTTGTTCAATCTTCTCAATAACAGCTACATACTTTAATATTTTTCTTACTACACTGTTTGACCTAGCCTAATTTTAGACCAGTGACGGTACGAAAGGAATTTATGAAACCAGATTATCTCATTTTGACGTGCAGAAAAAATAGAAGTTTAAGACTAAAGTTGGGTTATCATATCCATTTTATGCTTATTTAGTCTAGCTCTCATTCAGCAGCAGCAGCTGTTAAGCTTTAACCAACATTCCACGGTTTAAAGGATGCAAAACTATATTGCGCGTGTCGTAGCATCAGTTCTGCTTCCTTTCTATAGTGCACTTAGTAGAGCAACCTCTTAAATAAAAGCAGCTTTCCTTCCTCATCTTAAAGTGTAGCCAGACTTCAGTGGGCAAGTTTTCAGAAACAATCAGAATTGTGTTATTCGTTTTAATGTGGGGCAATATTCCATAATCACTTTGTGCTTAAGTAAGCCTTCCAGTCCTGAAGGGAATACTTTTCAGATGACAATGGACACACAGCATCCAAAAAAACCCCAACAGTTCCATACAAGCTAAAAGAGTATTTAAAATAGGTACAAGTGTGCAGGACTACAGAATCACAGTCATTGTATATTGTGAACACAGAAAATGTAAAGCTGCTAAATAGTATTAAAACAAGATGTACTGCAACTGAGTTAGCAAAACTTTAAAATAAGCAAAGTACCTGAATGTATGGTTGCCTTTCTACTCTTTCCATACCTTGCCATAAGAGCCATGCTACTTGAATAGCAGTAAAATGGATTGTTCCCAAGGTAACAACCCAAAACTGCCAAATGGAGCCATTTATAATATCCCAAGACTTAAATGATTTTTTTTTTTTTTTTTTTTTTTTTTTTTAGATCTAGGCTGCACATTTACAAATTATTTTCTCCTCTGCTGCTTTGCCAAAAGCACAATTCAGATTCAGAATTTGCCTCAAATTTGTTATTGCTAGACACAAAGCAGTGCCACAGATAACTTGTCCTGCTTTATTTCACCAGTCAGGAGGATCACCTGTACCAGCAGACTGATGAACACTAGCCTTGGCAGTTAACCACTTCCTCGGTTCAAAGTTTACAGGTCATTTAATACATGTAAACAAAGGTGCTTTATTTTTCATACCATGATCATTATGTCGAGCTAAATCCTTCCGATCAATATAGAGGTCATGGTCTGTATCCAGCTCCCAAAATTTGCAATATATAACATAAAAATGTTCATATGAGAAGTACTCTGTCAGCTGGTTAATATCAGCTTCCTCTTCCAATAATGCCACATTCTATTATCAGAAGGATAAATAGAACACATTAAAGAATTTGTGAGACATTAAGACATTTGTTGAATGATCCGAGTGCTCATAACCAAATTAATATCTAATGCTATTTCTGTGGAACAATTTTTATCTTCAGAGACAGTGCACACCATGCAGCATCACAGCAAAGACTGAACTCACAAGGTAGAAAGCTAACGTGTCCATAGAAGAATGAGGAGATCAGCCAGACTTCTGCTAATCACACATGCATTTATAGAGCTCTAGACAAAAGATGACATTTAAACATATTCTAATTTATAAGAATTAACGCAATTGAGTCTTCACCAGTTTTTGGAAAAGGAAGAAATGCTACTTAAGTTACTCCCTTAAGCATCTAGTTAATGCAGTTTCTAAACTTACAGAAACGTCTGTCTTGCAAAATTTTAGATATTATATACCTGCAAAAAGTTGCTTTTTCTGAGCTCGTTACAAGTTATTTTCCCAGACCAGGACCTATTTACTGTGTAGAATATTCTCTGTATAACCTGCAAGAAAGAGAAAAAGGAAAGGTGATCTCGGGTACTGTAACTAAATATGCTCCCAAACATTTGCCAAATGTAAGTTTTAGTCCGGCTGCATTACAGAACTCCATCTTTCCCCTATTGCTGTTGTTCTCGTTACTTAGCAGGCTGATGCTTCTCGTATGCGTCATATTACCAAACCATTTCTAAGTCTGTATCTAAACTAATCTTGGTAAGTCTTACTTCAATGCTGCAATACCCCTATCTCACACAGTAAAGTTGCAGAATATGCTATCCAGAATACGTCTACTGGCAATTTCACTACCTCCCAGTCTTCCAGATCTACAGGATATCATCTAATAAACCTACTGATATATCTCATTGCTTCAGATTTAAAGACCTATACTTACCATAAGAATATTTGACTTAAGGAATGAAGTTACAGAAATAGAATTGGGTCTGTTTAAGGAACAGAGTACAGGGGGCTGTTGCTACTTCTGAAGTCTACAAATACAACAAATCAACCTTTGACAGAAAAACTTCCTGGAGATGCAGAGAGAATACATTTCTCCCCCTTTAATTTAATTTTATTTATAGCTACTTGGAAAAAAACCAGACCTGTTAGTAGTATTAAAAGTACATAAGTGTTATTCTAACTGAAAAACAACAACAAAAAAATCTGTGCAAGAAAGATGTTTAGTTCTTGTGCCATGACTTATAGCAGAACCTGAAACAAATTCATTCAGTTGAGTAACCAATAGTTTTGCTTAAATCAGTTTTACATGTACATTATTTTGGTATACTCATTCATTCAGCACAATTTGCCTGGTGTTAGTTTACAAACGTGAGACTTAAAAATAGGGTTTTTTTCTGTTTCTTCACAGAATTCAGTATTCACTTCAATTAGTTTGACTTAAGTCAACCAGATACACATTTTGAGTCATTCAGTGCTAACAAAAGTGGACCAAAAAAATCTAAACAAATTATGAACCATAACTGCTTAATTGGAGATGGATTATACCTCCTGATTAACAAGACCAAATATTGCACGTGTAGCATTTCATTTGCTACACAGTAGTTACTAGCTAAAAGAATCATCTCTTCAGGAATCCTTTTCCCCCAGATAAAACCTCTTCCAAATTAAAGACTTTATTATTTTTTTATCACTTCAGATTTTAATTGCAGTAAATCAATAGTTTAAACAAGCCAATCATTCCTAAGTTACAAATAGAAGAGTAATTTATTCATTAAGTTTTAAATTAAAGCTTAAACTGTAGAATGCAGCAAGCTCTGCAGCTCTTACTTTGAGCAAGAACAGCTGGTTCAATAAATCCAGAAGGGAAAATAGACTAGCCTACTTCTGAAACTTAATTAGCTTAATTCTAATTGTGAGTTTAGGAAAGGCCCATTTTTGGCTTATACTACAAAGCCATTTTTTCTGAAAAGGTTTTGCCTTAGCTTTGCAACTTAATCCATCTGCATGTCATTATCTCATCTGTTATACATTTAACTGGTCTAAAAATAAAACCAAAATTGAACGTTTGCTAAAGGCAACTGGGAACAGCCTTAAAAAAAAAAAAAAAAGGTTTTCTAAAGCAAATCGAAGCAGAGTATAATAGTCAGAGAATTGCCTTCTTTACTATGCTGCACAGTGGTTTGTCAGAAGGGAGAGGAAATGGTACAATACAGAGATTATGATTTCAAGAATTTATAGTTCAGATACACACACAGCATACTTGCAGATTCGATGTTGTATCGCAATTGCCCGGGCAAACATTTTTACTACATTTCAGCTTTATCTAGAACACATGTACCTAACCTCACCCCTAGACTGACCAACCAACCAATCTACCTGTATTGTAGCAGTGGCGTGGTTTGGGCCTGGTTGGCAGCCAACCACAACGCAGCAGCTCTCTCTCCCTTCCCCTCCGGCAATGAGAAGGGACAGAGAGCCAGGCTTGGGGCTCGAGATAGGACTGGGATGGGGAAAAATCCCCCTTTTATGATCATGAGCAAAAGGCAGACTCGTTAGGGGAAGAAAAAAAAGAACATACATTTATTACAGACACTAGCAACACATAACAGAGTAGGACAGTGAGAAGCATTCCCACATCTTGAGAACACCTTCCCCCCACCCCTCCCTCCTTCCCGGGCTCAGCTCTGCTCCCGATATCTCTACCTCCTCCCCCAGTGGTGCAGGGGCAGGGAATGGGGGGTGCAGGCAGTGCTGCCACTTCCTTCATCTTCGGTGAGGGGAGTTCCTGGAACTTGTTCCTCCTGCTCCATCGCGGTCCCCCTCTCACAGCAGACAGTCCTCCACAAACTTTCTCCAACATGAGTCCCTCCCACGGGCCGCAGCGTTCCCCACACTGCTCCGTCATGGGTCACTAACTTCCTCTGACTGGATTCCCTCCCACGGCTGCAGCCCTTCCCGAGCTGCTCCGGCGTGGGACTCCCCCGCATGCTGCAATCCTCCCAGCACTGAATTACAGCAGCGGGGCTGCCTTTTCCCATGAGACCCCGGCCTTCTTCGGGCACAGCACCTTGATTATACCAAGCAGAAGCCACAGGCCATAAATCAATGTCTGCTCCACCGTAGATCTCCATGGGTGGCGGGGGGGGCCGCCCTGCCGTCTCCCCACAGGATACAGGGGGGTCTCTGCTCCGGCACACCTCCCCCCTCCTTTCTTCCTCCGTTCCTCCACTGACCTTGGTGTTCACGCAGCTGCAGCAACTCCTCCTCACCAGTCCCACTGCTCCTCACCACATCCCTTCTTAAATACGTTCTGGCAGAGGCGCAGCTGATGGGCTCAGTTTTGGTGCAGAGGTGGAGCTGACGTGGAGCTGGGGGAGCTTCGAGAAGCTTCTCACAGGGGGCTGCCCCCATAGCCCCCTCCCCTGCCACCAAAAAACTCCACCACTCACTCAACCCAGAACAAGCAGATAGACCTGACTGCTTCCATGGTTGAAGAACACTTACAAGACACCTGCTCCACTAAAGAGATGCAATGTATGTATGCATACTCATATACACACATGTATGAAGATACAAACAAATACGACAGAAAAATGGATCATTTAGCTTGTAACTGGAAGTTGGCATGAACAGGCATTAAGTCTTCAACTGCAATGCTTACAAAATCCTTGAGATGAAGCTTCACGTAGCAGGGTAAAAGCTACTTTGAATGCAGGTATGAAACGCCTTCATCTTAGAGAGAAATCATCTATCACTAATAACTGGCAGAACAGAATTTTAGCAACAGTTACTCCATCCTAAAATAGGACAAGAAAGGGCAGACAGTCCTGCCATTTTTTGAACTGCAGCATAGCATTCCAAACATTCTTGATACATTCACAACAATACTAGTTTACTTTTGGGATTTTTTGATTAAACATGGATTTCTGTGGAAGACCACCCTAAATTTTGTTAGTAGAGTATTGCCAGCACTAATTTATTCAATATTGCTAGACTCAGGCCTATTCAAATAAGCTGTTCCTCCAAAGAAAAGCAACTGGAAACGGCAAGACCTTTCCCCTCCTACGGTTCTTTAGGACAGGCAGCAAGCTTTCACAATTATAAGCAGAGTAGGCTTTGATACAACCCAGCATCCGTTAAGAAAAAATTACTCACAGGCAGAACATTTCCTCCAGTCACATCTGACTGGAAAGGTCTAGGAGCTCATGTAATCATTGCAACAAGAAGTAAAACCTAATGCAGCTGGACATACTTGATAGGCTGGCAGTCTCTATAAGGATAGGAGGAACCAAAAGCAAACGCTTTCAAAAAAGCTTTCACAGTTTAGGGCTGGGTCAAACTATAAAATGAATAAAAGATGATCAACTGCATGGTTTTTATTGGAAAATATTCATTAAGATAGCTTTCGCATGCACAAAGGAAGTGAACTGAATGTCATTTTAAAGAATTTTAAACTTTTGAGACTTTGGTGGAATCAGCTGTCTAGTCTACAGTTGAAAAAATTTACTGTCACTGATTTTTCCCTTGGGTACAAAAAGAATACTTCAGTCACATAACTTAGGATGAGAGAAATGGAACTTCTCATGTATGAAGCCTGCTCAGAAAGAAAAATCCCCAGAGGCACAAGCAGCTTCAACAGTACCATTATTTTACTTACTACTGAACATAATCACATTAATATAGACCTTTCTTTCAAATTTCCATTTAATTAAGCCCAGAGTAAGGTCAAGATTCTAATGAGTACAGTCTATAGACACAATCAAGTGTTTAAGATAACACTTCACTCTTCATTTAATGTCCATTAGCTTATTCTACACGATTACAATTAAGTGTTTCTCTTATTAGCTTCTTAACTTCCATAAGAAATTGCTGAAAACTATGATTCTTAAGAAATTGAGTCTTTCCTCACTAGATTTCTAGTTATGTAGAAATGAAGACTGACAGCATATTCAACTTTTCCCAAGGGACAAAGATAATCATATACATTGACTAATCTTAATATTTTTTATTTTCCTACTTAGTTAACACAAAAATGGCTTTTACAAATAAAAATCACTTACTGTGGTAATGTACCGAGAATGAAATTCGGATGCTTCTTTTAAAAATGATAGGCCAGGATGACTGTTCACCACATCCTACAAAGAAAGGAATAACAACATCACAAACATTATTCATTAGTAACTGTATAAAACAATTAACACAGAATAGCACATCTGCTTCCTTAACCAAAAAGGTTCAAATTAGCTAACGCAGCCATTACTGAGAACTTCGTTTAGAACATGCTTCATGTAAATAACTGTTGAATTTTTAAAAATAAAATTGTATTTTGAAGAAGCCAGATAAACACGAGCTTTCCCGTATTTTAGATGGGATGAAGATTTTGAACACTGCTGACTGCTGTAGCTTGTAATTCTGGGGCTGACTATTATTCAGTAAAAGCCAATTTAGGTTTTTTTCATTAATTAGTAAATGTGTTTGCTGCTCTCTGGGAGAAACTGTATTAGGTGTTGAATTCATAAACCACTTTTCCTTTGCCTGCCAAAGGGCCTCCTTGACTTAAATAACTTCAACTGCTTTTCTAAACTGTAAGGATTCTGAAACACATGCTATTCCTGCAAACAATTTTAAATCCATGCATCTTATGGTAGCTCTTAATAATTTTATATAAGATGAGGTCTTTTTTAACTGTAAAATAAGTCACTCAGTAGTATCTCAGTGGACCTTACAAAGTCAGTTACGCTAAGTATCATCAATAAAAGTTAATGAAGACCATAAAAAAGTATGTTTAGCTCAAAAAAAAAAAAAAAAAAAAAAAAAAAATCACAGCTATGTCAGCTCATCATTTTGTTGTGTTTCCAGAACTAGTTTCAGTTGTAATTTACTTGTAGAAAAGGAATGAAGTCTTCTTGCACCAAGTAGTTGCACCCAGGGTTCATTAGAAGATGAACAAACTTTGCAGCATCATCATAGCAGGTCTGAAGTATTCTGAAATGTAAATATTTCCATTTAATGCTCTACACAGAAAATTGCTCATGCTACCTTGTACAGGCACCCTAGAGCAAGGCCTATGAAACTGCAACCACATTTAATTCAAAAGCTAATTACAAATGTCAAAGTACACTCCAAGTGAACTTATCAAAGCAGTACTGTCTCATACATTTACGTTAAAGGAGGCGGGTACACCATGTAATTGATTACATGAAAGGACATTTTTAAGTTGGAACTGGAAATAGAACTAGAAAGAATAAAAACCATTTTGTCCAAAACTGGCATCTACAAGTTAGGGCCATGGTTTTCACTTTCCCCATAAACAGCCAGTCATTTACCAAACATCTGAAAATACATAAACCCTGTAAATAAAGATTTGTTTGTTTGTTTATGTTAAAGTAGTGATTTAGTTGCATTTTTCCGGGTAGGAGTTTGCTGTCAATGGGTGATTATGGGAATGTATTTTATTCCCCTGTACAAATTGGATTTCATTCAGAGCTTAAAAGATCACATTTCAATTAAAATAAAATGCAGTACTTCTAAAAAAAGTAATCTACTTACTTCCGCCACATCGCAACAAATTTATGAACTGACACGTATCCTGTTCGTTCACCTCCAGCACAATAAAACAAAGGACCTTTCCAGTAAAGCGGGCATTCACAAGCCTAGAATTAAAGTATACATCAAGTCAGTTCATTGATTGCTTATCTGAGGGCTACTCCCATATTTATAAATCTTTCATAAAACTAAATTTTACAAGTGTTACGAAGAAAACATTAAGGCACCATTTTTTTTTTTTTTTAAAAACTGTTTCTGAAATCAACTGCACCTTCCAAAATAATTAATTTTAAGCAACTGCTTTAGGCTGAAATCCAAAAGTGGAAAGCAAAACATAAGGCAACTTGCAGCGTTCCTAATAGATGAATGCAGCCACATGCCTGCTCTGTCCGCGCTCCAAGCAGTGGGACAGGGTCCATGTTAATAAACTCTGCTAAAGGGCTGAGTCTCTTTAAGCTGAGCCCAAGACAGTACCGTTACACACCTCCTGAACTGCAGCAAGGTTACATCGGTCTGTCTCGGAGGATGGCTCAACTCATCTGCATCCCTGCAGATGCACGCACACCTTCTACCCAATTTTAGCTACTAAGCCAGCCTACTTTGAGCAGCAGCATCTTGCTTCAGGATACCCAACAGTTACACCTTCACAACTCCAACACTCCCCTATACCTACAGGCTGCTTCGGTGTCTGCTCCAAGTTTCCTCAGGTGTAACAGCTGAGTAAGTATCTCTCACCTAAGCCTGACCTCTACTTGGAGTAGTCAGTCATGCTGGCAGCTCTGAGAATCTCATGTGGTTCTCACCTAAGATTGTAAATACTGCAAGATGTATAAGGTCACTGGAGCAAAAGGACAGTTACTTCTCATGCAGTAGTTTAAATGGTACTTTAAAAAAAAATAAGAAAAAGTGAGTTTGATGAATACTCTCCTCAGACTGAGAGGCTTTTCCCTAATGCTACAGGAGGGTGCTTTTAATCGGGGACTGGACCCTTCCACATTTCTTGCCGAAAGGGAAGGGTCTCTTCCACTTCTCCTCGCTTCTACATGGAAAGGAGCTGTGGAATGTAGGAATACTGTTCAGCTCAGCAGTGAAACGCTTCTGGTGAGGCAAAGTTTCTGAACCCCTAAGTCCTGCTCCTGTGGAAAGTCTTTGTTTCTATTTTCTAGACTCAGGACTTTGCACTTAAAGTGACAGGAACAGGGATGAAAACCTGAGATTACCAAAACCATGGCTTGCAGTAATATTTCCAGCATTGATTCAATATAGCAAAATGAAAATTTCAATTTAACTAGCTTATAGTCTGTTGCACAAAAGTTAAAAAATATTTGCTCCTAAGCTCATTATTTTGTCACTCACTCTGACGTAATTCTAAATGAGCACTTCAGTAATAACTAGAGGGCTATTATATCGAGTTACCAAACCATTCTGTCTTTCAGTGTCTTTACAATGGAGGTTCATGACACTACTGAATGAGGGAAAAACAGTGTGGACACCTGAAAAGAAAACGCATATTAACAGTGCTCTGGGCCTTAAGTCTGTTGGTCAGTACAGAACACAGAACAACACACAATGCGCCCTTCAGTATTTGGTTGTTTACACAACTGAAAAAAGAGTTCAACTTTTGTTTTAATGTTTATTTATTTTTGTAAGCAACGTGCAGGGCTATTTGAGACATAGTTAATGCAAAGATTTCCACACATAGCTGTGCTATCAACAATGCTGACTGTTTTGTCTTACTGGTACTACTTTGTAGGAGAGGAAACACATAATACAAGAAAACAAAGCACACAGAACTCATGTTTCCTTTCCACAGGTGTACAGTACTAAAACCAGGCAGCCAGCAAGTTCTCACCTTTGCAACCTTCCCCATGTCTTCTAACGTTGCCCTCTCATTTGGAAACTCAGAGAAAGTTCTCTCAATTTTGGCAATCACAGCATCTATATTCACTTTTTCCTTAGGACATCCTCGAGGAAAATAGAAAGTTGGAATGTTTTGACTAAGTGATGGTGGCAAAGTTTCTTCCTTCTTTGTCTGAACCTAAATAGATAAATACACATTTGACAGTCAGATACAATGAAATAATGTATACTCGTCATCCTCAGATGACTTGAATCTCTTGGTATTATCTGTTACAACACACCTTCATTAATATTTTTGACGATAGGCTGAATAAGCTATTTAAGAATGAGAGCACATTGGAAAAATTCATAAGTATTTCCAAAAACTGTCATTTAGAAAGATTTCTAGGATGTTAAAAATTTAATAAAAACAACTTCAGCCTTCAACATATCAAGTTTCAAGATTAATACACCAGACCGCTTCTTGGAGACATCTGAAATAACTCAGGTTATATTATCAGTTTCAGAAGAAAAAGCCTTCAAGTTCTAGCTTAACAGACAGGTCATGAAAGAATTTGCTTTTGCAATATTTCTAGTTTTACAGCTTCAAACTTTTGAAATAAGCATGCCAACTTTGTTACAAACCACCAACCTGTTTAATTTAGTTACAGTGAAGATGGTTTGGGGGGTTTTTTTGATCCTAAAAAAAAATGCTTGTCTTCTTTATAAAGGTAGCAAATAATTCCTTCAGAGGGATTTTTTTGGTAAACTATACATAATCATGGCATGAGAGCTTAAAAATGTTTCTCAAGAATTTGTGATATACCATACTACTAAAAAAAAATGACCAGTAACATGAAGCATTATTTATTTAAATGCATTTAGCTTCAGTAAAGAAGTTAACTTGTACTTAGTTTCCAAAAGATAGACCAATGAGGCAGAGAAACAAAGATAACAAGCAAAGTAACAACAGAGTTATGAGGCAACTCAAAATTAGCAATTAGACATGAAGTCTTTTATCTCCAGGCCACTGTTCAAAAGTAAAAACAATGGCTAATGCTATAAGGTGGCTCATCCTAGTGTTAAATAAGTTCGAGATCCTGAATTCCATCTCTCGTTTCCAACTAGAATTGGGGAAAAAAAACAAAACAAAACACCAAAACAAAAACTCCAACCCTCATTTTACTCCTTATCGCTTTTGTCAAAGTGCCTGTGAAGATACCAGCTATCCTACCACAATCAAAACCCTTAAGTCACTGAAAGAACTAGGTGCTTACAGACAGTAGATTTTAATTTGCAGGGTTCCAAGCCAGAAGCCTTCACTGGAATGCTACACATGCTAAAAAAAGCCTGAATTAACCTTTCTTTCCCCTCCTCCGCACTTGAGCCAGCATTCCTGTTCACAGCTGCAGAATTACCTCAACTGAGTTACAAGTTTTATTTCATAGAGGAAAAAGTTACCTTGACACTGTGATACTTAGAGTCAATGCCTGTCATTTTCTAAGAATCCTGTAAATTACAACTTTTGATACTTCGTCATTAGTTTAGTGGTCCAGCTAATGAGGCATCAGCTTAGAACAAGGGAGCCACAGGACATCGAAAATCCCTTCCAACCATAGACTTCCAAACTTTTGGGAAGAATAAAGACAGCAACATTTTATTCTCTAAGTAACATTACCACGGGCACTACAAATAACGTACATACCTAGATTAACACCATGTTTCATTTTAGAAACCCAGCATCAGCACTTTTGTAGAGCCCTAGGAGTTACGCTATGAAAAAGGGGATTAAAGACCTATTCTCTTGTACTGGTACCACACAGCCGGACACCTAGCATGCTTTTAAGCATCAGCAATCAAGCCATCTTTTACTTAACAGATTCAAACTCTCATATTTGTTCCAAACAGCTAGATTATTTAATTTTATTTCCCCTTCTTCCCATTTACAAGAGCTGCCTGGACAGCCGCTCTCATGTGAGTTGCTCAAACTGCCACTGAAGCTGCAGGCGTTCCACTTCTTCAGAGATGCCCCACGAGGTGGGCCTCCTCCAAGGAAAGGGTACGTGGCAATTATAGACTGCTAACGTCCCCCGAATGTTTCAGGTAACTTGAGGCAAATCAGTATTTCAAGAAAACCTAGTACAGACAGACGAGGTATTTTTGAAAATCCACTGCTAGGAAAATTTAGAGTATCGGAATGAAAAAAAAAAAAAAGCTTATTTTAAAACAAGGAAAGGCAGGGGCAGAGGGAAGACTTCATTGGAACAGGTCCCAAGAAAAGAAGAAAGGCTATCCACAGAATTATTTGTTTGTCAGAAACTTTTTTTCAGAAACTATTAATTTACTTCACATACCTCAGAGTACACAGTAAATTATTTCCATTAGTCCAAGTTAAAAGCTGTTCTTAAACACATGTGGAGATCTCAGTTCAGGATTTGTAGTAAGACCTATCCTAGGATGTGTAACTTCCTTGAGTGTTATTTAAAAGTTAGACAGTAAAGGCTTTTTTATTTATTTTTCATCTTTTTGCCTGTCGTAAACATGTTCCAGACCGTGGTTATAAGGAAGAAGTTAAGTAACAGATTCAGAACTGAAGATAGACATACAGGTGAAGAAAATTGATTTTTTTCAATATGAAAATGTTATGTTTAAGCGTGACTTGGAATTCAGCACGCTTAGCTTAAAAATATATAATATTTAATTTGTAAAATGGTATACCTATTCAACTCTAAAACCATGTACTGAATACAAATGTCTCACTGCAAGACAAAATAACTCTCCCTATATTGCAAGTTGTTGTCTATTTTTACACGCGGCCTTCTCAAAGCCAGTGAAAGAAGAAGCTATAAAAATGCTTCATTTGCATTAGAAAGCGTATGATTCCTTTCACAGTCATTTCCGATAGATTTATTTGGTGCCTACGTATAGGCATCTAGTGAGAATACCATCTAGGGCACAAGCCAAGCCGCCCTTGAATATTCCACGTGGCGTCCAGCAGCCAGCTCCGAGCGCAGCTCTCGCGCCCCGTCGGCCACGCAGATGTTCCGAGCACGCTCACGCTTCTCGAACCCCACTGGCAACTTGCAGTTGGACCACTGAATTGTACCGTTACTGTCCCTCGACACAGGGATAAGGGCCTTTACCAAAGAACGAAACAGGCTGTCCCAAACTATCAGTTCCAACTAATGCACTACGACGTGAGTATTGCAGCTCCTCTCCCTCCTGCCCGGCCCAAGAAGGGCCAGCATTTCTTCTCTTCTGGCACTCTGAATCCCCTCTGACCAGTAAAAGGCTCCTTGTACAGCTGAGGCTGCCCTGCTGTAGGTGCTCTAGTGAAGGAACACGTGACGCTAAAAGGGCTCTTCACTCCTTTCTAATTTCAGCTAGTTACTTCTGTAGATGCACATTATGTATATCTGATGAAAAAAAAAAAAGAGTCGGTTCTGTTATTTCAGGGCAACCGAAATGCATTAATTGTGTGAGATTAAGCTGTCGTAAAATTAATTATAACTTTAACCAGGGAATTTCCTCATTAACAAGAACTGCTAGAAGTCTGCTAACACCAAATCTTTGACTGGAAAATCTGCAGCAACAGTCCGTTATTCTTTTTACAAACTGTTCCATTTCAGTGGTCAATTTAACATTGAGAAAGTAATCTACGTTTTCTTAAAGCTTTTAACTTAAAGCTGTAATACTGGTACCAGTAAGCTAAACTTACAAAAGAAACTGGTTTAGTAAGTGAAGATTTTCCCCGCAACTTGCCAAGAAATACCACAAACAATAACATGCTTGGAGTTAGGCATAACGGCTGTATAAGCTTATAAATAACTCAAAAGTAGATGTGTGCTCCAGTGTCAGGACTGAAGGGCGCATTAACCTTTGCAGTAAGTATACGTAAAGTCCAGAAACTGTAATCCTATCATGAAGTTGCCACTGCAGTTTAAGTTTTATGTAAAAGAAGGGAAGTGAGGATTCCTTGAAAATTCCTTGTTTGTAATAATGTAAACAAACTTACGTGAGATTCATCTATAAGACAATTCAAGAAAACCTTTAATACATAACCAGTTTTCATTCCTGACATACAGGACCATAAGGACTGTCCACAGCTATCCAACACTTATTTGCCTTGACTTCTACAAAGGAGGAAGTGGAAGTTTATATCCCACTGGGCTCACTGCTCAAAGGGCACGCTTCTGATTTTATTTTGCAACTCTCCAGATCCTTTTCCAACTGTTTTCCAGCAATTGTTTCTAATAATGGTATGAAACCATTATTATAATTACGATACAGTAATATATTAGTAAATAACAGAGAACATGGATACACCTCATTCCAAACAGAGGAGTTCAGTCTTCTTGCTAGACAGTCTTCTTATATCTACCAACAGATGTGTTGCACTTGGCAGTTAACTTAGTTCTAAGCAAAAATTAAGACATCAGGCATTTTAAAATGACATGCCCTTTTCCCTCTCTCTCAATGACAGCACGCATTTCTGAAATAAAAAGGAAGGGAGTGCTTGTTCCCATATATTTTAAGACTCTACACTCAGTGAAGTCTAGCTCTACATCTGCATGTAGAGACTACCAACCAGAAGTACTGATCCCAAAGGAATTGAATACGTGGATTAAAATGCAAGCGAGTGAAACCTCTCCTGAAAAGGACTTGATGGAAAAGGAAACAAGGTAAATGTTTGTGAATGTAATATTTTTTTTTTTTATAGGCAGCTTACTGATTAAGACACAAGCTCACTGCACTGATTTGGTATTTTCAATTGTTTTGACACAACGGAAAAAGATAACTTAATTCAGAAATGCTGATGCTTTCTAGTATCTGTCAGACACCAGCATTTGTTATGCCTGTTTCTGTGAAAACAACATTTAGAATGTATTAAGAGAGTTAGCGTTCAGTTCTTGCTGTATTATTTGACAAATTTCCACAAGGATGTCCATATTAGAAAAAAGTCAATGAAATACATACAACAGGGTCAAGACAATAGAACCCCAAAAAATTCTAGTTCATATTTACACCCAACTTCACATTAAGCTTACACTGTGAAGTGGCACACCACAATCCCAAACAAAAAATGGCATTAAATATGGGAAATACTATAAAGAGATTTTTACCTGTCAAATAAATAAAAGTTTGGTTCAAATCCTTAGTATTTTTAAGTAGGAAATTAAAAAAAAAAAAAAAGGAATG